GTTACGCTGACTAGGTCATGTCCGAATGAATGACAACACTCCAGCTATGAATGTGTGCGACGCAGTATTCGCCGAGGGTATTAGAGGAAGAAGAAGTTCTCCACTCCGTTGAAAAGACTTGGTGGAGAAGGACCTGGCTTCGCTTGGAATCTCAGATTGGCACCACATTGCGAAAAGAAAAACGACTACAGTGCTGTTGTTAACTCAGAAGAAGAAGAAGTATAGTTCCCTTACATTATTAGATTAGATGAGAAGAAAAGTTGAAATCATCCGAAACATCAAAAATTCGAACACCGTTAATCTGCTTTCAGTCATTGCTAATTTTTGCATATTTACCAAAGCTAAACCAAACCACAATAAAACTAACAGAAAATAGTGACAGAGGAGCGACCACAATTTTAAAATGAAAGGCCCCAAAAGTTTAAAATAACAACATTTATAAACAAAGAGTCGACTGGCTGCCTCGTATTATAATCCCACCATATGTCTGGCAAACAGTCAAATAGCAGTAATACTCGCTTCAAAAAGCATTTATAGTTACTAATATTACATTAAATGCTTTGGCTTTAATTCATGTTTAGGTTCAAATTAAATATAATTGTTTTAATTAGACCAACAACAACAAAATACTGGATACATATGCGTCATTGCGTTTAATTAAAAGAGCCAAACGTCAAACCACAAAACCCTGACTGCCATAGCACATACCCTGGCTGCCACATTTTAGCATGATTTTAGGCGCCATTCGGTATCGTGAGGCTGTTGTCTGTCGTTTAGGAACTGTTAGAAATACTAAAGCATACAAATGGGCACGACAAATTATAACTATACATAGTAAAAAGTAATGTAGTTGTTTTTTGTCAATGTGAGCTGCGTCGCTCAACAAATTAATTTTTTTTTATATTCTACCAATACTTTTTTTCGCACGAGGTATTGTTATATTTTCGCGCAATTTTTAGGTCATGTTTATAATATGATTGAGCCATGGCGGCACCTCCTCGTATTTGGTAATCTAAGAATTTTATGAATTTTACTTTTGAGTTCTAGGCAATCTAAGGTACTCCTAAGTTTCCGCCTTCCTCCATTATGCAGACATAGTACAAATATTTTTAATCTTTTAGGTTTAAATTACATAGCTCCTAAGCAACTAAAGCTACAAAAACAAAATCGTCCTGGAGAAAATATTATAAAACCTTCTACCAACAGTGTGAAATGGATGAAATCTGATGATGCCTGGCCTACTCCTAGTTTCATAAATAGAATGTGCGGTTAGGTTCGAAGTCAACCGTCCCTACTTACTTTGAATAATTTCATCATTAGCGTCTTTTAAGTGGAAATAAATCTATGGGAATTTTGACATATGCGCATGCTAAAGTCTAGCGTCAGTGCCGCACCGGCGCATAGTCTGAATCTCTCCTTATTTGTCAGCTCATACTCAATCCGTTGAAAAAAATAGTGTAATGTCGTATGAGTTATTCGACATTACCGCCCTCTGCTGGAAAAGAGAATTTTTTCTGCACACTTAAGTTCTTATTTCACTTAAATCAACACTTTTTGTCCTGCACAATTCCTATTTTGATAATGTAATAAAGCTGTAACGTCCTGTCTATAGCAAACGGCAGCTCTTTTGATATGTGTCGGTATAGCTTTTGTATAAAAGCAGTTAGTATGTGACGAAGTACATATTTGTATTTTAAATACCACATTTACCCTTTGGCTTACATTTAGCCCTTCGCTTAGTCTATCTGTTGTTAGAGTTTAAACCAAATAAGCGGGAAAATTCAAATATTAAAAAAACATAGACATGTCTGGCTCAGCTAAACCCTTAAATAAATATTATTATATTGCCATATATACGTCTACCCACGTACTAATAAGTGAAGTGTTAAAAAGATATGATAGTGCAAATACCGTTGATGTGATAAGAAATGTTTCTTAAACTCTAATTACCTGTCATTTCATAACTTCGAACTATGTTATTTACGATAAGTAGCACATAGAATGAATTATGCTTTATATGAAACATTCCCATTCGTATTCGAAATAGAAGCGATCAGCATCATGCAAGTACTTTTAAAAACAAGGAAATTTTTGATTATGCCAGAACCAGATTTGAATCGAAGTTTAACCTTTTAAAATGTTCCGAACGCAATTGCACAACAGTTTCTGAATGTAGTAGAATGCGGTCACGTTTGAAACTTGGCTGACAAACCTTTTTATGTTATCAGTGTTATGCAAGAATCACCATCTGATATTCCTGATAGGCGGTTCACTTCCAAGTACATGTTGAAATAAGAGTTTTGTTTCCTAACGGTTGTTTTTAATACTTAAAACTAATCGAAATTTTGGTGATCCATTTCGAGGTTCCCTAGTTTCTTACAGAAAAAAAACTTCAAATTTATTGGGGAATGTTTATTTTCATTCGAAGGAACATTCTTTGGCACTCATTTTTTGAAGATCATCTCTTTCGAATGATGACCACGGCTTCGTCTTCGATGGTCTATCCATTGACAACAATTTTCGAAGATTTGTTCGAGCATTTCGATTGTTTTGCTGCAGGGCTTGAATCGAAGCGGGATTGCATATCCCCAAAAGAAAAAGTCTAATGGTGTGATATAAGACCCTCTTATCTGCCAATCGACAGGCGCAAAGTGTGAAATTATCTGCTCCCCGTAGTGTTGTCTCAATAAATCCATTTAGTGATGCGATGTGTGAGAGTTTTAAGCATCAAATCGTCGGTTACCATAGCGCGACAATGGTTGCCATTGACGGTTACGTTATCACCGGCATAATTTTTCAAGAAATATGGACGGTTGAATTATCCGGCTAATAACCCATGCCGTACTGTTGTGTTTTTTTTTTAGGTGAAATTAAAGCTATTGAAACTCTTCAGGTCTTCGTTCCAAATGCGGCAAGTTTGCTTATTTACATTCCCATTAAACGAGAAATGGACCTCATCGTTAAACACAATCTGATTCGAAAATGTTGGATCTTCTTCGAACTTTTCAAGATCCCATAGCACAAAGCACTGTCGCTTGGGAAGGTCGATAGACTTCAGTTCTTTCACAAGCTCTATTTTGTGAGCTTTCGATATAAGATATGGAGGTGAAATGCACCAAATCGTTTCATACGTCAGTCGTTACTGCCAACGGCACCGAATCCACTCTCCTCGATCTTCGTGTATACTCTCAGTTACTGCTAAATTTTCTTTACTGCGTGCAGGACATAGTTTTTTCGTTTGAATATTGTCCAATAATGAATGCTGGGTCTCAAAATGGGTGATGGTGTTGTGAATAGTACGCTCAGTAGGCCTATTATGTTGATTAGGCGTAAGTATTTCCATGATGAAATGCCAAACAATACTGAACAAAAATAACATGACAGCGTGATATGTCAAAGAAAGGCTATTGAAAAAAGCACATCTAACGGATCTCCTGTTATATGGAGTTACTATATACAAATTATCAGAATGATAAAACAAAATGGAATCCGAATGCAGTCGAAAAATTCTTATAAAAAGTCTATAATTTCAAAAAGTGATCTTACACAACCACAATTTGAGTTAGCTTAGAATTTTCTGAATGATAATTGTTCAAAAGTAACTCTTTCACTGAGTCATAGAATTAAAATAAAATAATGAATATAAACTTGTTTAATGAATATACATATTACATACTTCAAACCAATCGACAGAACGGAGAATGGTTGTTGCCATATTTGAAAATCCTTCAAAGGGCCGGCCGACGAAGTTTTAGAAAGTATATAATATTTTGGAATTCACCGGAAATTATTTTCATTGGCAACTTTGAAAATGGCAAAGCTATTGGCCCGATAGAACGTCAAGATCACGATTCGACTATTTTAAAAATTGGTTATTTATTATACATTATATACATTTCTTTACATTCATAACTAATGAAATTACTGGAAAATAAATTACAATTTACACATATTTAAAACTGTTAAGCTATTCTTGCGAATTTTATAATTACCTCTTGATTTTTTTTCTAATAATGCACATGCATTTATCATTAAATAGACTTGACTCATTTACAAAAATGTTTTTTTTGTTTTTATGACAGGTAATTAAAAACCAGAATCTCAATTACCTAGGTATATACTGTATTTTTACAATATCACAAATTGTCCGAAGAACTATAAATTCTATCAAAATTGTTTAAAAAAATTATTAGTTAACAAAAAAAGGTAAACAAAAAGAAAGGAATGGTAGTACAATGCAATTGGCGCATAAAAACAACGTAATTGCTTTAGGCAGGCGTTAATCAAAGCGGATATTTGAGTGTTACCAATTTAAAAAATTGCCTTACTTTTATACCATTTACTATGAAAATTTTCATTTCATATTAAAACACTTAAAACAGTTTTTTGCGGAAAAACTGGACCTCAAATACCCGACAACAATGGCAAACGTTTAGTTTTAATGCGCAATCTATTCATCTCTCTCGCACTTATGTAGGTTCAATATTTAAAAAAAAATTATGATTTTTTTTCTGAAGTAGTAGTAATATTGTAAAGTTTAGAAGAAAGGCAAGACATCCCGAAAATGAATATAAAAATAAAATAAAATAGAATTACTTGTAAAAAGTTAACAAAATAGTAAAAAATTAACAAAAAGTATTTTTAGAATAAAAAGATGGAATGCTATAAAGTTTTCTAATTATATAGACATAGCATGCCTTTCAATACCTGTTTTCTATAACTACATAATGATGGCAATTTGGTTTCAAACCAGTTATTGTCATTTTTACTCTAAGGAATATTTATATATGGACAATTCTAATTTCTTAAACAACCTGAAACAATATAGACATTTGCAATGAACACTCCGAACAGCAGGAGGTATATACGTCACACTTAAATCTACATTTAAGTTTGACAACGCTAGATATTTGTAATGCCAGGACATCATAAATCCCTAAAAGACATGCTTAATGTTTATGGAAACATTTAAGTTTTCATTTACTTTAAATAAAATGCTACTACTGCTTTTCCGCAACCCGATTAACACCGTTCTCCACCTTCCAGTCCGGTTCAAATGCCTGATTCGTGTGTTGCATTCTTATCGCTGCTTCGGCGTGGTTACGGTTCCGCGTCACCTGTGTAGAATTACGCAGACCATAGCTGAAGTAAATCGCATAGCCAATGGCAACCCATACGAGAAAACGTATCCAAGTATTCACGTCCAATTGGAACATCAAATAAACATTGACGAAAACACTTAAACAGGGTATGAATGGCACTAGTGGCACTTTGAAAGTTAACTCAATTGTCGAGACCGGTTGCATGCCGATTATAACCACAATAAATATTAACAGAACGCCAATAACGCCTAGCGCCACTGCACCAGCTGTAGAAGTCACGCCGCAAAGCGCCTCAACTATATCCCAGACGATGCACACCAGCGCAAATACTACGACAGCTATTTTTGTAATACGTGATGTAAATAAATTTGGTTCACGATACGAATTGCCATTGAAGAATTGACGTATAACTTTGGGACAACTAACGGAGATTGTCTTCGTATCCATATCTTCATCCTGATAGCGCAGTACGAGCACACATATGGCTACAATTGTGTAAGCCAATAGTGTACCAATGGACATCATGTCGATCAGCTGGTCCAGATCGAAAATAAGCGCCATAATACCTAGAAAAAAGTCATAGAATGACTGTTATTAGACAACTCAATGCATTTCCAATAAATCGATCATCATTGCAAACAAATGTCGCCAAAATAAATATTTGAGCTTAATCGTGACGATGCCGGAGCTAGTTTGCAATTTTCATTTCAGTGTTTTTAAACTTTTTGTTAATGCTTACCCGCAAAAATTCCCGAGATAATTGTTGCCAACAATGGCGTTTGGGTGTAGTTATGTACTTTTGAAAATGATTTGAAGAGAATTCCGTCGTTGCCCATAGCATAAAGTACACGCGGCAAGGGAAACATAGCACCCAACAAACTTGTGGTCAAGGCAAAGACTGCGCCAATTGTAACGATCCACTTAACAGCGGACCAACCAATGTCGTCAAAAGCCTTCGGGAATGGTGCATCTTTATCCTAAAAGAAAATGAAAAATTATAGTGACTTATGAAGAGATTGACATAAGAAGAATATAATTGACAAAAACTATAATTTGTAAAGATTTGAAAATAAGTTTCAACCCTTCAGGTATTCAGAGAATTGTCCAAAAATATTTTGAGACACGGTTATTAAAACATATTCAAAATCGCATTGGAGGGGTTAATATACATTTGTGATCTCTTGTTATCGGTGTTCTCAAAGAGCATACTGAATATTTCTATTTGAAACTCACCAGTTCGAAGTAAGGCACCATCATAGTAAGTACCGTCGAAATGCCGAAGTAAGACAAGAATATGATGATCAATGAAATGACGATGGCAAGTGGAATATTGCGCTTTGGATTAATTGCCTCTTCTCCAGTTGTGGCTATACAATCAAAGCCTACAAACCCATAAAAACATTTCGCGGCACCAGTCATAACACCGGCAATACCGAATGGCATAAAACCGCCACTGCCAAAATTATTATTGTCTGTCTCGGGTACATCATCTTTTGGTATACTCCAGTTAGCGGGATTAGCTGTAAATAAGGCGAAGAAAGTTACAAAAGATGGTTTTCAACTGTTTACAGTGTATATACCATTTATAGCACCAGCAACTAATACTATGGCAATGGTGATCAGATTTACAGTTGTGAAAATATTATTCAAAAAACTGGACTCTTTCACACCAAAGGCAAGTAATGCCGCCAGCAGCAAAATTACACCCATAGCCAAGAAGTCTGGATACTTTGCTAAGAAGTCCACATGCATAGGTATAGCCTCTGTCAACGCCTTCGACATACTATTATCGATGAGCGCATCAAAGTAGCCGCTCAGACCTCGAGCTACACTGGCGGTACCTGTTCGAGAAGGAAATTATGGTTTTATAATAATAACGATATTTAAACCTAATACAGCTAAAAATGCACAAATATAAACATGTCCTCATACCAATCACATATTCCAATATCAGATTCCAACCAATAGTGAACGCTACGAATTCGCCAATTGTTACATAGCTGTAAACGTATGCAGAGCCCGCTTTTGGCACACGTGCTGCAAATTCAGCATAACAAATGCCCGCAAAAGCGGAAGCAAGCGCAGCGATAAGAAATGATATGGTCACAGCTGGACCGGCAATATTGTAGGCGACTGAACCAGCGAGTACATATACGCCCAGACCGAGAGTACTGCCCACACCGAGTGCAGTCAAATCGAAGAGATTGAGAACACGTGCCAATTGTGATTCGTTTTCTACGACATCATCCGTTTTTCGTCGGGTTAAGGCGGCCCAGAATTTCGACATTATTGCAGTCAAATTCGGTTTTCGTCTTTGATTACAATGTTTTCGGTATTTTCTATTCGGTATGGTTGCTGCTAAAAATGAGAAAATATTTTCATTAGATACACATACTATATATATCGCGTGTGGTTTACATAATACTTTATAATGACAACTTATATGTATGTATGTCTAATCATTTAGCCTGGGAATTTGGTAATAGCTAATTAGAGTAACTAATTTAGGCCACTTCTGTCAATGGCAACGTGTTATCAACAAATCCAAGCCTTATTAGAAAGATATTCAAGTATAATTATTTTAAGGACAAAATTTGAAAAACAAAAGACCATCCCAAATATTTGGTGCTAAGTGCCATAGATACGAACAAACCTCTAAACAAATACTCCTGTTTCGCAATCCATAAATCCTTATTAAACATAAGCTCTGAAATAATAAAAATCAGCGAGCTACGGGACGGAAACCTACTTCTTCTTGTGAAAAACAACATCATACATAAAAAGTTCACGTCTACAAAACAACTATTAGGAGTTTGCAACGTCAAAATTGACTTACACAAAAATCTTAACTCTAGCAAAGGAACCATTTACGCTCCTTGCTTAAATGACGTTCCTGACGCAGAAATAGTTGAAAATCTGAAAATCTGAAGGAACAGGGTGTGTCGTCCATCTACAAATTCCCCAAGTATGTAAATGGTCAATCTGCTCCGAGCGGAGTAGTTCTTCTTACATTCGACTTGTACTACTTACCGGAACAAATCGACATCTCGTGGTACAGAACAAACGTAAGACCTTACTATGCAATCACTCATCTTCCAGTAAAGAATACCCGAAATTTGAACAAATAAAAAAAATAATCACTATCCAAACAGAAAACAAATGCTCATATCGCGAAGCAGTAAGCATACATAAATTGCAAACTGCACCAACTTTTACTTCTTCATCTCCCTCATTCTCTAACATATTAGACAACTCAACCAACAAAGACAACGACAATAACAAGAAAACAAAAACCCAACCTGAAATTCACACAGTTACTCAGTCTCTCAACTCAAATAATAACATAAAATCAAATCCAAAACAAACAAATTCACCAAACTCAACAAACAACATTTACTCATTAAACTCATTACCAACCTCAACGGCAGTCGATGACTCTTCCACGACGACTCTCGACTACGCTTCAACAATCCCACTCATCTCCAACTTTATAATCACCTTAACAACTCAACCTCCCACTCACCCCCCGCACAAATTGATACTCTCAGTTCTGAATAGACTATGCGTATTCTTCAATGGAATTTGAATGGTCTATTTAACAACTACGCTGACCTTAATCTCCTTGTCAATCAATTTTCACCACACGTTATCGGACTACAAGAAACACACCTCCCCGCTAATAAATCAGCTCACACTCCCAACAACTACGTAGGTTACTTTTAGAACCTCCCCCGCAATAAAACAGCTAAACAAGGAATAGCCATTTTTATTAAAAAAAATCTGTTATACATAAACAAGTTCCCATTTCCTCCAACATAGCCACCCTAGCAGTGGAAATCGACATAGGCTTTAAATTTTCGTTCTACAAACCGCAGAGGTCAGGAGTTAGAAGACACCCTACTTGTAAAAAGCCTTGTCGTTCTAAATGATGGACAACCAACATACTTCTTCACACATAATTCGTTCACCCACGTAGACATTGTCCTTTCATCGGCCTCGATTGCTCCTAAACTTTCGTCCCTGACATTAAAAGATTTACATAATAGTGACCATTTCCCCATCGTAACCACCCTGTCTACTCCCAGTTTATATACCATTAAACCTAGAGCAAAATTCTTAACTGAGAAAGCTGATTGGGCTAAGTATTGTTCACTTATCTCCTCTTTTATTCTAGAAAAAGCTATATCTAGCAACATAAACGCGGAAGCATCCACAATAAAATCTGTTATACTCTCAGCTGCATACTTAGCCATTCCCCAAACTAATACTAAACAGTTTTCCACAAAGCTTCCATATTGGTCTAAAATCTTATCTGTGTTAAGAAGGAGAAAACAAACGTTATGGGCTACCTACAAACACAATCAACAACTTAATACAATACAAAAAAGCTAATGCCATTTTTCGAAAGGAATTAAAAAATGCAAAAAGACAGAAGTTTGTAAAATTTACAGCTAACATAAAGCCTCCCTCTAGTCCTAAAAAGGTTTGGTCGGATATAAAAGCTCTGTCGGGCGCATCTAAACACCATAAAACTGATTTTATCCAATCTACACAAGGCCCTATGTACGACCGAAAAGAGATTGCTGAAGACTTTGCAAGTTCATGGTCTAATGCTCCTCATAATTCTAATTTCCACATGGATTTCAACTCTCTCAGTAATATAATTATACCTAAAACCTACCACAACCCGTTACCTTGTCCTACAGCTTCCCTAATCGAATCATCAATCTCACTTCACGAACTCGACTCGACTATTTCTACTATGTCGGGTAGCTCTCCAGGCCCGAATAAAATTCCTACTCCCTCCTCAAAAACCTTCCTCATAACCTCAAACTCCGACTCCTATCGTTGTATAACAGAATTTTTGATAAAAGCACCCTTCCTCAAGATTGGAAAAAAGCTGTTGTTATACCTATCCCTAAACCTAACAAAAGCAGCCCTTCCGACCCCAACTTTAGACCTATATGCCTAATACCCTGTATATCTAAGGTGCTTGAAAAAATTATATCCGTGAGAATTATGTGGTACGCCAAGAAAAAAGGGTTGATAAGCTCTAACCAATTCG